AACACCAAGTCAAGGGTTAAGATCCCCTTACCGGTCATCTTTAAAAAAAAAAAAACTATATCTTCCTAGGCTTTTACACAACTCAGCCAATCTAGGTCACCTCCCCTTCTCATTTCCTTCTGAGACCGCAGAACTTCCTCAAGTCCCTTGCTCAATGCCTACCTCACAGAAGTCCTCAACTCCTGCTTCGTGGCATCAACAGGGGTGTGAGTCCAAACCTGCGGACTCTCTGCAGACTCCTTCCTGCCCTCCTCCTTTTCCACCTCTGTGGAATTCCATCTACCCACAACTCCTCTGGAACCCTGCTTTCTCCTTTATATCCTTTCAACACGTACATTTGACTTCTCATTCTGATAACTCCTTCTCCACAACTTGTAAACCTACTTGAGCTTCTCTTGTATCTTTTTTAATCCTCCCTTGGTCCTAGATCCCCTCTGGCTGCTACTCCATCTCTCCTCCCTTCATACTCAATTTGATCAAATGAGTAATCCACACTCTCTGTTCCCTCTCTTCATCTCCCATTCCTTCTTCAATCCACTGACATGTCTTTCTCCCCACCACTACACTAAAACTGCTCTGGCAAAGGTCTCCAAGGATACAACTCCCAAAACCTTCATCATAATCTGCCTTTCTGAAGTCTTTCACCTTATTGACCAGTCCCTCCATCTTGGAAGTCTCTCTTCATGGGCATAGTAACACCAGAGAGGTCTTCTCCTGATTCCCTGGTCATTTCTCTTTTTTTCTCCTATGCTGGATCATCTTTCTCCACCTGCTCTTCAAATATTGTTCATTAACCCGGGTTGAGCTAGGTTAAGCATCATCAGAACAGAGACTCCACCTGTCTTGTTAACTACTATAGCCTCAGCACTTACACCTTCCTTACATAACTGCTGAATGAATGGCTGAATGTTGGAAAAAGTACAGTGAACAGGGCACCGTCTTTTCCCTCAAGCAGCTTGCAGTCCAGTGAGAAAGATAAAATGACAGTGATTAAGTAGAAAATGGCAGTAGAACGTGGTGATTGCCACAACAAAAGCAGCTATGGGAGAATGAGAGATGGATGCAGGCAGGCTCAACTCCTCCAGCATCGAATTGTCCCGCTTACCTCAGACTCAATATGATTGGTATTGAACCATGTTCTTGTCCTAAACCACCCCCCAATGTTATTCACTTTGTATTCTCTATCTTGGGGATGGTACCACCACCCACCTTTTTAACAAGCTAGAGTCTTAGGAGTCACCCTCAAAGCCTCCTTCTCTAACACCCCACAACCAAGCAGTGGCCAAGTTAGGTTGACTTTGCCTTCTCGGTATTTGACAATTCCCTCTCCTCGTCCCCATGGTCCTCTCACGATGGTTACTGCAGCATATGTGCTTTGCCTCTAGTCTCTCTCCTCTCTAGTCCATCTTCCACACTGTGAGAGGGATCCTTTCATTCTCCTGCTTAAAAATCTTCAGTGGTTCCTGATATATAATTCTCATGTTACAACCGAGATCTCCAAGTATAGCCCTTTAATGATCTGACCCTTATCTCCCTAGTCTCATATTCCACAGTTTCTGCCTCACATTTACCATCATCTCATACCCTAAAGTCCGGTACTACTGAACTACCCACAAGTACTGACAATACACACAATGCTTCGTACTTCCCTTCTTCTGCACAAGCCATTATGTAAAACTTCCTCTTAAGACACTGCTCTAAGTCCTAAGGATTTTGCATAAATTAACTCTTAATCTTCATAACTACTCTTCTCTCCATTTTACAGATGAGGAAACTTAGGCAAAGAGCAGATAAATAACTTGCTGTATTTCTGCACAAGCCATTATGTAAAACTTCCTCTTAAGACACTGCTCTAAGTCCTAAGGATTTTACATAAATTAACTCTTAATCTTCATAACTACTCTTCTCTCCATTTTACAGATGAGGAAACTTAGGCAAAGAGCAGATAAATAACTTGCTGTAACTCATACAGCTAGTATGTTGTAGCACTGGGATTTGAACCTCCGTCTAGTGCCCTAATCTCTGTGCCATACTGCCTGACTTCGCCTTGCTTCACCACCGTGCGCATCCACCTGATGAATTCTTAATCATCCTTCAACACCTAACTCAAGCCACCACTTTCTCCATGACACTTTCCCTGATCCCCCAAAGTTAATCATTCATTTGCTTCCCAGCATTGTCATTGTACCTTGGCCACACCCCTGTTGTTATGTTTATCGCTCTCCATTTTATCCGTTTCAGAACCTACTCAACCCTACACAGAGATCAGGTTGCACATAAGAATTACCCTCGACTGTGGAAGTTCCTGCAGTTATTTCCTTAACAGTCCTTTTACTCATCTGTGCCTCATTTTTGTCTCTTGCTTATCGATTTCCCAGCTCTCACTCATCCTCAGCTCCTTGACTGCTTTAGCCCTTCAGTTTAGTTCATCGTTTACCTCCTATGCCTGCTACTTTTCCTGAACTCTCCCTCCTCTGACTGATAACCTAGTAGCGAACCCTTTTCAGCATGACCTTGGGGAGTTGCCAGCACAGCCAGCCCTAACTGGGTGGGTCTGATCCCCCAACCTGGTTCTGGACTCTTTTCTTTGGTTTCACTCAAGCTACCTCATGGGGCCAAGGAGTTATTGAAAGAATCCATGTTCTACAGAAAAACAGGAAAACTAAACAGGGTTCAGGAAGAGCAAAAACACTAACAAAGTTGGCCTGCACCATTTACACAACTCAGCTAATGTCCAAGTAGCCTCTTCTTTTATTTCCAGTTGGCAATTGGCTTATCTTCCCCTCTATTCTGTGTATTTCTTCCACATTTCACAGCTTCCACTTACTCATGGTGTCCTTTTCATAATTTTGATTTGCCATGACTTCATGCAAATGTTCAGCTTCACCTCTTCTAAATGCCTAATTATCTATGTTTCTAATTTCAGTTTCCCAAGAACAAGAAGCTGATTGGCCCCAGGTCATCTTTTCATGTCATGTCATTAAACATCCACTACTGGCCATCCTATGGATTGGCAGTCCTTGATTCCAGAACTAACCTCAATCCAATCAACTGTGACAGTGGGCACAGGGTCAAATCATGCAAAACTTGGCCACCTGGGCTGCCCCTTTAGCAGAGGCTGTGAGGTGTTTTCCCTTAAAAAGAATTATGGTGTGAAATGCCCCATGATAGAGGTATGGATTAATTTTAGACTAATGATTCTTTTAATATTTTTTGGCCATAGATTTTTCTGAGACCCAAATAAAAGCTATGGATCCTTCCCCAGAAAAAAATTATCTTATGCAGAAAATTTCACATGTAACTTAAGGGTATTAAAGAACCCCAGCAGCCATCCATAGAACCCCTACCACCACAATAGGTCAAAAGTTTATCCACAGACCTCCTCAAAGGCAGGCACTATATTGCATTCATGTTTGCATATCTGGTGCCTAGCACTGGGCTTGGCATACAGTAGGTTCCCAAAAATATGTGTTAAATGAATAAATTGAAAAATTGGTTAATTCATTAATTAAGGTTAAAAAGGTTATTCCGAGCCACATAGATGCTAAGAAGTTTGGATTTGGGGGCATTGGGGAACCATTTTGTTTGTTTCTTTTGTTGTGTTTTGTTTTTAAGCAGCAATTGATCAGAGCTGCTCATTAGGAAAATGTGTTTTCAACAGTCAGTAGAAGAAGATCGGAGGGCAAGAAACCTGTTAGGAAATTGGAGGAAAGAGGGAATGAAAACCTAAACTAGACCAGCGGAAATGGGAATAGAAAATATGGGGAAAAGATCTGAGAGTATAAAAATAAAGCTGATGTTACTTGGCACTTGATAAGAATCCTGGGTAGGAAAAGGATTTAGAGTCAAAACATGGCCTTAATGTTCTCAGGGAGGGAAAATGGAAGAATGGCAATACCATTAGCAGAGACAGGGAAGCCGAGAGGTTAGGAAAACAAGATACTTCTTAGATTATTGAGCCAAAAGTGCACGAGGGACTTTCAAGTCGATTCATAAACAAGCAACTGAATATGTGAGTATGGAGTAGCTGAGAGTTGTGATGAAGATTTCGTATTATGTACTCAAGGAGTGCCCAGCTGAAGCTGTGAGAGCAGATGCCAGGAAGCAATTTACACAATGCTCGGGGGCCCATTATCTTTCATTCACACCTACTATGCAGTTTTTGAAGCCCTTTCAAAGCCATCATTTTATTTGAAAGTCATAACAACTTATGAAATAGGCCTTTCCTATTTCTTGACCTATTTACAGGTCATGAGGAAATGGAAGTTCAAACGGGTGAGGGTTTTGTCAAAAGTACTGCAGTGCAGTAGCAGACCCACAGTTTCTGATTCTTGATACAACTCTCAACTCTCTTGCAAATTGCACACAGACAGATGCCTTACCGGCACAGGTCAGTTGGAATTGCAGTAGTTTGGTTTTTTTGTTTGTTTGTTTTGTCTTTTTAACTGTCATCAGTTTAGAGAAAAGTTTGCGAGAAGGGTGGCAATAACCCCTTGGCCATAATAGATGCCTTACCGGCACAGGTCAGTTGGAATTGCAGTAGTTTGGTTTTTTTGTTTGTTTGTTTGTTTTGTCTTTTTAACTGTCATCAGTTTAGAGAAAAGTTTGCGAGAAGGGTGGCAATAACCCCTTGGCCATAATAACCAATAATCCCCGGCCATCCACTCGGCAGTGATCACCACTATATTAAATGTCTTCAGTGTGGAGGAATAGATAGCCTCGGCTCTTAGAGAACTTCTCAACGACCACCATACAAGACTTAATTCTGAAAAGCCAAAAATCTTCAAGGTTCACAAGTCGATCGGGAAATCTGAGAGAGGACGACGGGTTTAGGTGAGTCTTCAGGCGAAGCTGAACGTTAGCAAAGGCCGACGGGCCGGGACGCGCGGCGAGCGGCGGGCGGAGCGGGAGCGGGAGCGGCGGTGAGTCAGGCTTGAGCCAGGCCCGGCGGGGCGGGGCGGGGCGGGCCGGGAGGCGGGGGAACCGCGCGCGGCGCGCCCGGAGCTCGCAGTGCCGCGCCCGCCACAGCCCCGGTGCCTCTCTCCACTCCGACATGGTAAGCCTAACTTTCTTCTTTTTTACTTTTCTTCCTCCTTAAATGAAAAGAAAAAGAAAAACACCAACAGCAGACTTTCCACCAGGCTTCATCTTTTAATTTATGTGTGGATGTGGCAGGAAACAGAGCAGGACAAATAAACCTTGTGGGAGGGTAATTAGGGAGGAAGGGGTGGAAGAAGCCCTACAATTACACCTGCGATGACGGCCTGGGGGTGGAAAGCGGCGGTTCTTTTGTCTTCCCGGTCGACGCAAAGCCGAGGGCTGGGGCAGGGCCGCCCGCCGCCCCGCACGGAGACCTCCCCGGCCGGGGCGGAGGCCCCTCCGCAATCTCGGGGCCCCAGGAGGCCGCCTCTGTCAGTCTGCCTGGAGTGGAGCGAGTGGAGACTTTCTGCGTGTGCTGGAAGCCCCTCGGCACGGGTCTCTCGGAAGGCCAGGGAAGCGTGGGAGAAAAGTTAGAGACGGGGCTTGGAATTGTGCGAGGTGTCACTAGTTATTGCTGCAGACCAGAAAGGGGACGTTTCAGAACTTGGTCGTGTGAGCCCTAGGGAAAGTCAAAGTTTCAGTAAGCAACCGGCAAACGGCCAAGAAGACACAAAGAGACAGAAACTAAAGCCTGTCGCAGCAAGCGGAACCACAGCCAAGAATGTGGGAGGAGCCCGGTCCCAGCTCAGACCCCCTCCTCCTTTCCTCTTCCTTTTGTCCCGCCATCTTTCTAGGCGCGTCCTCCACCCGTCTTTCTCTTCGCACTCCTTCCATCTCCACGTTGAACTCTGTCTTTTCCATGAGTCCACCTCCAAAATCTACCTCTTTCTTCAACTCTCTTTAGTGAAGGGGTCAGCAAACTTTGGCCCGCGAACCAACTGGGTTTTCTGTTCTGCCCACAAGCTAAAAATGGACTTTTTACAGTTTTAAATGGTTGAAAGAAAATCAAAAGAATAATTCGTGGCCTGCGAAATTATATGAAAATCAAACTTCAATGTCCATAAATAAAAGTTTTATTGGAATACGGCCACGCCCATTCCTTTATGTATAGTCAGTCTGTAGTTGCAGTGACTGAGACCATATGGACCACATAGGCCTAAAATATTTACCATTAGGGCCTTTACCAAAAAAAAGTTTGCATACTCCTGCTTTAGTGTGTCAATCTGTATCCCCACCTCTTTCCCTCTTCTGCTTTACTCTTCTACGAAAAAATACAATCAACATCAGGTTGTGCTACTCTGCGTGCATTTTTTCAGTTCTTTCACTGTACCCTTTTATCATATTGTTTTCTCCTTCCTATCACAGCCCCCACCAGATGAAACTCCAGCCGTACAGTGAAGTGTGGAGGGTGCTGGCTCCTTCAGCCACTGCCCCACCTTGGGCAAAGCCTTCCATCTCTGGCCCTTCTCAGGAACCATCTCCAAAGTCCCCTCTAGCTCCACAAATTATGCAGTTCCATTTCAGGAATTTGATGACTATTTTTTTCTTTTGTTTTGGAGAAATAGTTGGGGGAAGGGGCTGTGCAAAGAGGTTTTCATTTTCTCTTTGTGGCTGACAGCAACAGTTTTCAAGAAAAAGTAATAGTCTAAATTACATCAAGATTGATATTAAAGAGAAAAAAATGTAAAGCAGAAAGGCACTTTGAAACTGGAAAATCAAAGCAATCTGATTCTGCAAGGAAAAGGCAGAGGAAGCAGGTCTAGAAAAAGGTCACAAAGCCCATGCTCCTTAGCCTGGAAACTTCTACCCTATCTGGTGTGCCCTCCCAGCCAGGCTTCTTCCTGTCATCTGACACATTAGTAAGACAGGGAGATTTAGTCCTGTGCGATGAGCATGTTGTGCAAACACATGTGTTTCTAGGCTATGGTATTTTGTTTCTCCCCCAAAGTCCCTGAACCTACCAACACTTTTCTTTCCTTAAGAAAACGTTCTCTTGGGGCGCGGGGGCTCCAACAATGTGATTGTTGGGAAAGGATCCACCTCTGGAAAGGTTCAGGGACTCTAAATGCTCCAAGAGGGGCTGGCTGGTTTGCTTACTAGGTAGAGCATGGTGCTGATAACACCAAGGTCGAGGGTTCAGATCCCTGTACTGGCCAGCCACTCCAAAAAATAACAAAATAAATGCTCCAAGATGCAATGGGCAGCAGACATCTCAATTAGGCTGGTAAAGCACCTGGGGAGACAGGCAAAAATGCTAAAGGAAGGAGGGAAGGAGACCAATCAGCAGCTGCACAACTAAGGGCTCAGATCAATCCTTAGCACGTGTTAATTACAGGGCCTGAAAGCCTCTAGCTCTGGGCTCCAGGAAGTCCATCCTAAGAACAAAGTAAAGGCTAAACACTAAATTGTAAACGTCACCATCCAAATATAAATCATCGTTAATGCCAGCAGATATGCCTGAGAGGAAGGGTGTGGCCTGGCAGGGTTCCCAGAAAGCCTGCAGTTGCAGCTCTTACCCACCAGGGGGAGTACAATAGCGCCTCACTTCTGGAAACCCCTGTCACAGCTGGAATGACACACTTAGCCTGACAATTTCCTTGAAGAATTCTGTTATAAGAAAAGCAGAGCCCAGCACAGTACTCGGATCTCCTGCTTTGTAGATGCCACAGATCTGTAGATGCTGTGTGAGCGGCAACCTAAGAGCCCCCATGTGAACGTTCCTGGTTTGAAATGACTTCCAGATAAGTTCCACTGGCCATTCCTGTGGGAATGAGTGGCTCCTGGAAGCAGAAGGAGGAAAGGCTGAGGACCGCAGAAAGGGACCGGGAAGCCAAAAATCTAAGGTGGCTCTGCCATATCCATTCCCTTCTTGTGGCTCAGTTTCTGTACTTCTAAAATTAATGGTTCCAAACTCTCAAATGTGAAAGCCGCTTTTGAACATCTGAAAAGTTCTCAGCTCTCTCACTCTATACACAATAATAGCTATGGTTTTAATTTTCTTCGAGAAAATGTGTGAGTCCCAGGAATTCAGCACAGCTTTAAAAAGAACTGGCATTTCATTTATCACAAAAGCCTCTACATACTCTTGGAAAATAGGAAATTATTTAATCTATAGACAGTACTGGATGTGCATATGGACTTTTGGATATATAGTTGTACATCGATTTACCCACACATTTTAAAAACATTAGTAAACCCTGCCACCCTCACTCTCATCTACCACTTGCAAATATACCCTCAGTGCTCCATGTTTACTCTCATTATATTGCATCTAGAATAAACCTGTGAAGCAGGGTGGGAAGGAAGGTCACAGAATGTGACCTGTAGTTGCCTTGACCTCCAGCCCCCTGAAAACTAACCCAGTCTTTTAGGAAACTGCTTTGACCTGAAATAAGATGAGATTCCCTGGAGTTTCTCCAGCATTCAGCCCTTCGCATCTTGCCCTTGTTTGAGCCCCACATTTTTTTTTCCAAAGGCAAAAATCTCCAGCCCTACAGAGACTGAGCGGTGCATCGAGTCCCTGATTGCTGTTTTCCAGAGGTATGCTGGAAAGGATGGGAACAACTTCAAACTCTCCAAGTCGGAGTTCCGAAGCTTCATGAATACAGAACTGGCTGCCTTCACAAAGGTATTGGTCCCGGCCCCCAGCTCCCCAAACTACCACAGCATGAGGCCAGACCCTGGCAGAATGGCTAGGAGTGAAGGGCCAGCAGCTGACTACTGTAGTCCTGCTCCTTTTCACTCACTCCAAGCCCAGTGGTCTACACAGCAGCCAGGCTGAGCCCCTAGGCCTCAGGGTGAGCTCTGAATAACTGTTAAAGGGCTTTTTCCTCTTCTTTTCTTTGAAGTAAGATGTGTTTTAAAGATCAAGTGTGCAAACTGCATGACATAGGGAATGTTGACTTATTTTTTCCATTTATGAAATGGTATAGGGTGTAATAAAATCATTTTCAAATTTTATTCCTAATCCCCAACAGCTCTAGGGCAGTCCTGTCCAATAGAACTTCCTGCAGTGATGGAAATAATGTTCTATATCTGCACTATCCGATATGGTAACCACTAGCCACACATGCCTACTGAGCACTGAAATGTGGCTAGCATGACTAAGGGGCTGATTTTCTAAATCAATTAATTTAAATTTAGATTTAAAGAGCCATATGTATGGGGCCGGCCCGGTGGCGCACTGCTACAGTGCGCTGCTTGGAAGCGAGGCGGCGTTCCTGCCGAGGGTTCGGATCCCACATACAGACCGGTTCCCGCTCACTGGCTGAGCAAGGGGCGGGCGCAACACCTATGTTT